CACGTCCGTCTACATGCGGCTGCTGGCCACGCCCCCCTTCAACTCAGTTTTATAGATTACATTCAATGTGTGTTGAGTAAATTTTACTTTGCATTAAGCCTATTACACATGTGAGCAATTTTAATTGAACACATGAAAAACAAATACAAATCAGCAATAACCTTCAGTGTAACTTTATTTTCCTGTAAATATTTTTATCACTACTAACTCATACTGCCTATGCCCTTATTGGTCAGTGGGATCACTCATCACATTAAAGACCAATAGGGAGGCTTTGGAGGGGCAGGTGTGGTTGGGGTTTGCATGTCATTTTAGAGGGTTATTCACTATAGAGCCAAAGGATCCAGCCATAGCTTCGGCTGATCCTTCGGCTCGCTTCGCCTGCCTGAGCCCTTCGCTTCAGTCGAACCAAAAGGCTTCTGTACGGGCTATTCATAATAGCCCCTACAGCAGCTGAAGGCAGCCAGGCAACTCAACCGAGCCGAACGCACGTGCTTTGGCTCGGCTGAGCCGTAGTGACAGACAAAGCGCGGAGAAAGGTCGGCCGAAGGGCCGAGCGTTCTCTACGCAAATGACAGCTGGGCGGAGCCAGACAAAATCTAAAGGCTCGCTCCATCCAGTTGTTATGACAGATCAGCGTCCCCAAATGAGAATAGGGAGAATAGGAGCGAACAGCAGCGAGTGAGCTGCTGGAGCTTCAGCTCAGCCAATCCAGATGTTGGATCGGCTGAGTCAAACTCCTTCTGCAATTCGGCTCTGCCAAACATGCAGACTATGTTCAGATGAATGAAGGCAGCTGAAGGCAGCCAATGCACAGCTGATTTCTGCCGATGTACGGCTGGAATCAGCCGTACAGAGCCGGAATGAAAAGCCGAACGTCGTTATTCACTAGGTTGCCTTCAGCAGCTAAGTGAATAACCCCCTTAGGTCCAAGATCCCTGGATTCAGCAATCATTATGACTTCTATTTTTACTAAAGATGACTTCTATCTGTAGATCTTTTTTCATTATATGTTTAGTTTGAATTGCTCAGGTTGGTATCAACTTTACTATGAAGAGCAATTGCAGGCAACACATCAGGAGGTACTAAAACTATCTAGCTATCTATCTATCTAACTAGCAAACACTAATATATGCAAAAATTTTGAAAGACCACTCTTTTTACCTTAATTTAGGTTCTTCTTAATTCTAGTGATCTTATAAGACCACTAAGAGTGTATTTCCTGAAGCCTTTGTTTTGTAACTTTCTCTCTCAGCTCCCTGTGTGATCTATCATAGTCAAACTTCCAAGGTATGTTTGCATCTGATTAGCAGCTGTATGACATTTGTTATACATAAGGCAATCTATGGGAGAGGCAGCGAGGGACCTACAGTGGGCGAGTTATTGAATTGCTCTCCTGTTCAAAGCAGAAGGTCTCAGGTCAGCATGTAAGTGTCCCTATTATGGTGGGAATACGCTCAGTCTTCAGCCATACTGTGTTGATCTCACTGTCCCCTTGCTGGGTAGAAATATGGGGGGTAGATCTGCTAGTGGGGGTTGGTGTGGGGCATGGGAAGAACATCTATATAATAGCCATGGAGTGTTACAGGATATACAGTATAATAGGAGTGCCAGGTGAGCCAGATGAGCTTTTCGCTCTGCTGCAGCTGCCACTCCATCTGTCTCTCCCCAGCCACTGCAATCACTGCTCTGCCCACCACCCCCCACTCTGATTAGCCAATAGTGGCACCCCTCCATGGGCAGAATTCTGGTTGCAGAGCATTGGTTGACTCAAGCTTCCCTGCCTCCTGGCAGCTTATTGGTTACGGGACTGTGGCTCTTTATTTGAACATCACAAGCCCAGGCCACTCAGCTTCCTGGCCCCTGACCGTACTCCTGTGCTCTGCCTTGCCTGTTCTGATCACCTGTTTCTGACCCTTGCTTCGTATATATGACTACTTTCTTTGATTGCTGCCTGCTCTAAACCTCTGCTTGGATACAGACTCTGACATCTCTCATGGTATGCATTCAGTGTTATTTGCCTTAAGCACTGAGGGCATCTGAGTTCTGGTAGACATTGTTAGAAGTCTTACAAATATTGCTAATAATGTTTATAGGGTATTATTCATGTAGGAATTATGTATGAATGAGAAGGACCTAAGTGATGATTGATTATATATACTCTTATTTGTTCAGTTTTGGAATCCACATAAGCAGACTTTATAGAGTCCATGATTTTGGTTACATCTAGAGAAATGTAATATTACATGCTTAAGTTAAAATTATTTGCTGTACAGAATGTATTCATCTATTGAGTTGGTGACATACTGAGGGGAATTTATCAAAACTGGAGCATACAAAATCTGGAGCAGTTGCCCAGGGCAACCAATCAGCTTCTGTTTTCAGTTTGTTCAATGTAGATTTGAAAATGAAAGAGAGAAGCTGATTGGTTGTCATGCACATCTGCTCCAAATTTTTGTCTTCTCCAGTGTTGATAAATTCCGCTCATAGTATATTAGAAAAACATCTCACATTTCTCATTACTGAGGGAGACTGTGGGAGTCACTTATGCATAATATTCTAATTCAACGTTTTTGGAGAGTTTACAAAATATAAATGCTATTTTGTATAACTATATTGGTACAGGTAACATTATTTAATTCAAACGATAGTTCTGAATGCTTTTAACTTATAGTTAAAGCTATGTAGAAAGGTGAGGTAATTCCTCCTCCCACCCCCTTCTCTAATGGCATTCGGAAACTCACGAATAGCTATGTAGTATTTGACAGCTGAGAATGTCAAATGGGCGGAGCGAGCCATGACGTCACGGCTCACTCCGCCCATCTGTTTACTTTCAAGCAGGAATGTCATTTTGCGTCAAGTTTTCGTCGGGTTCGGACGGTCGTTGTGCGGCAGGACTTTTTTTTTATTTCGACGGGCGTCATGTAGGAATTGTTAGGGGGGACCCCATGGTTTTTTCCCCATTTTGGGGGGCTGGGGTTCCCCTTTAAAATTCCTACCAGACCTAAAGGGCCTGGTAGGGATTTTGGGGGGAACCCCACCCACTTTTTTTTGTTTTAACTTGGGGGGGTCCCACCTAACATTCCTACCAAACCTCAAGGGTCTGGTATGAATTGGGGGGGGGGAACCTCACGCTTTTTTTTTTCCTCTTCTGCAGACTTTAACATTTTTTTTATTTTGCTGCTCCAACAAACGAAATTTCGTCCAGACTACTGCTAACGAATTTCGAAATCGGAAATTTGGATTCGTTTGAATTAGTTATATCTGTATTTCGGAATTCGGATACATCTGAATGTCCGAATTTCTGAAATGTTGTCCGAATTTCGATTCGCAACGAACTGAATCGCACATGTCTACTAGACATGTAAGCTGCAGAAGAAATCAGCTTGAATCGGTTCGGATATTTCGTTATTTGGGGATTCGGATCCGAAATTCAATTTGGTTTCGGATTAGGACGAGATCCGAATTTTTGTTAGTTTCGGATGAGTTTGTGAATATTCATTGCGAATACCACAGAAAACCATATACAGATATTAACAAAAAAGCTGAATCTCCTAGATCCCATTCGGGATCTACATTTCAGAATTACATTCGGGAGTTCCTGAATGCCACTTGGGACTGGGAGCCATATACATGTATTACTAAAGCTGAGGCTCCCAGACTCGAATGGCATTCGGGAGCTCCCAAATGCAATTTGGAAATTCAGATCCCTAATGCCATTCGGATCTGTGAGCCATATACATATATTACTTAAGCTGAGGCTTTCAGACCCGAATGGCATGACCCATGCCTCAGTTTTGGTATTATATGTATATACTGTATATGGCACCCATGTTGCCATAAAGAAAACATTTTGTTCAGACCCATTTGGATGCATTAAACCGAAAACACATCTAATTGGCCAGAAAAGTCACATGTACGATTCAGTTTCGTATTTGAATGAAATTTGGATGGGATCAGAAATTCGTAAACGCAAATTTTGATTCGGACACATTCAGATGCATTGGGATTCGGAGATTCGTATGTATCCGAATGGCAATATTTTGGAAAGTTCGTCCGAATTTTGATCGCACATTTCAATATCAAACCCACATTTTCAGTAAATATTACCTTTAAATTCATTTTAGTGCACATAAACACAATATCATACCCGTTTTTTGTAAAATTGATGAGGTTGTGCTGAGTAAATTGATACCAAACAATGACAAGGTGAAATGGCAAAATCCTGTACGTGGTAACATAAACATAACATGCGATACACATTTGTTGTTTTTTTATGTAGGCACACCCAATTCATATGTATGTGTACATAAGGGTAGTGGGGCTTTAAAAAAGTTTTTTTTTTCTTTTATAGCTGCCGGAGTCTGCTTACAGGTCAATTCAGCCGCTGTTGTATGGCATGCGGGGGCAGCAGCGAAAGGGTCAATAGAATTTGTCCCATATCAGGGCAGTTTTATATTTGCTAGAGCAGGGTAGGCCTGACCAATTTCTATACAGCTGTCATAGGCCCAGTACTGCTTGATGAATACCCCTGTGTCACTTCTTAAACTATCTAAATAAAGCCTTTTTATACTGCTGTACTTCAAATTATAGTGGATAGGGTTCTGCTTTTGACTTTAGGCAAAGCTACAATAGTTAATAGCTACAATAGCTACAAAACCATAGGAAATAAGTGTTTATTAAATGTGCTCCTGGTCACAATGCAGAATTATAAGATGACATTAAAAAATATAAGGAACCATCATTTTGTGCATCTATTTGCATAGAACAAACATTCAAAGTGAATTGCAGGGCCGATGGCACTGCAAATAGTTTCTAGATACTGTAGACCCCTAAGAATTATAGCTACAAACTGCATTCAATGTTTGTTTCAAAGGAAAAATAATTGAGATAAACCATTAAAAAATATAAAACAGCGGTTCATAAAATTATAAACTTTCAAACATAATTTAAAACAAGGTTGGCACAATAGGCATTATACTTTTTCTTTAAAGCCATCCCTAAATATAAATACTTTCATTCCTCTGAAGTGCTGCATTTGTAGAAGGGCAATGCTGTTGATAGAGATGTTCCACTAAAGTGTTGCTCCCTGGTTGCATAGCTTTACGGTCATGGTTCATATAGTTCCAAAGGTGCAAAGCATAAGATTCATTGAAAGTCGGCAGCTTGGTCCAAACCTCATAGTATCTTTGCCAACCAGGGTACCGAATAGGATAAAATCGTTGAGGATTCAAAAAAAGAATGTTGCCGCACATTATATCTTTTACATTAATGAATTTGGGTAAAGTACATATCGTTTTCAAAACACGAGTAAAGAGATAAGGTCCTTGATTTCCCCAAGCATTGCCATTATAATTCTGAACAAAATCTAGCATACATGTCCAGGTAAAGTTATTCTGGGAAGAAAATCCAAAAACACCATTGCTGGAATATTGATCTGATTCGCCAGCCAGGAAGTTCCTGTAGGGTATAGGCTGCATTGAGATGATGTCGGTGTCCATATAAATGCCTCCGTATTTCCAGATCAGTGCTAGTCTGCAGCCATCTGAGCTTACATGGATCCAATGTGTTTCCAAACTAGTATTAATCTAGAAAGAACCGGGGAAAAAAGGGAGTGAATTCAATCATTATGCTCACTTACATCTTTGAAGGTTCTCATTTTTATAGGCCAATCCATGGTATAGCTAGTAGTAGTCAGCAGTGGCGTAACAACCGGGGGGGCGGCTTTAGCGATGGGGGGGGGCGGCGGCGGTGATA